AATGTTTTACATTTTCGACTTCTTCTTGAAAACTACAAGTCTGAATGCTTTGATACTTGGTGTATATGTACCTTGGGTAGACCTCTCTTAGGTTTGTTCATTTCATGTTGATATCTTCAATTCTCTAATTTTGGTGAATATTTTTGTCATTTTTGGTAAAAAGTGATATTTTTGACTTCTTGTTAAAAACCGAAAGTCTGATTGCTTTGATATTACATATATAGGTACTACATGTGGACCTCTCTCAGATTTGTTCATTTTGTGATAATATCTTCAATTCTCTAATTTTGGTGAATATTTTTGTAATTTTTGGTAAAAAGTGATATTTTCAACTTCTTGTTAAAAACCAAAAGTTCAATTGCTTTGATATTACATATATAGATACTACATGTAGACCTTTCTCAGATTTGTTTATTTTGTAATGATATCTTTAATTCTCTAATTTTGGTGAATATTTTTGTAATTTTTGGTATGAGGTGATATTTTCGGAGCTTATCATATGAGTGATTGTCCGTCGTCATCCGTGTCAATGTTTTACATTGTCGACTTCTTCTTGAAAACTACAAGTCTGAATGCTTTGATACTTGGTGTATATGTACCTTGATCATATCTTCAATTCTCTAATTTTGGTGAATATTTTTGTCATTTTTGGTAAAAAGTGATATTTTCGACTTCTTGTTAAAAACCGCAAGTCCAATTACTTTGATATTACTTATATAGGTACTACATGTGGACCTCTCTCAAATTTGTTCATTTTGTAATGATATCTTTAATTCTCTAATTTTGGTGAATATTTTTGTCATTTTTGGTAAAAAGTGATATTTTCGACTTCTTGTTGAAAACCACAAGTCTCTTGCTTTGATATTATACACATAGGTACCTCAGGTAAACCTCTCTCAGATTTGTTCATTTCGTGATGATATCTTCAATTAACTAATTTTGATAAATATTTTTGTCAGTTTTGGTAAAAAGTGATATTTTCGAATTCTTGTTAGAAACCGCAAGTCCAATTGCTTTGATATTACATATATAGGTACTACATGTGGACCACTCTCAAATTTGTTCATTTCATAATGATATCTTTAATTTTCTAATTTTGGTGAATATTTTTGTCATTTTTGGTAAAAAGTGATATTTTCGACTTCTTGTTAAAAACGACAAGTCCAATTGCTTTGATATTACATATATAGGTACTACATGTGGACCTCTCTCAGATTTGTTCATTTTGTAATGATATCTTTAATTCTCTAATTTTGATGAATATTTTTGTCATTTTTGGTAAAAAGTGATATTTTCTTGTTAAAAATCACAATCATTTATGGTCAAAAATGATATTTTTGAATTCTTGTTGAAAACAGTAAGTCCCATTGCATTGGTACTATGCATATTGTTCATTTTCTAATGATATCTTCTGTTCTTTAATCGAAATGTGCATTGCTAACAGCGGAGCTATCTCAGCCGAGAGGCTGCTTGTTGTTTTTTGCAGGTGCAGAACCAGAATTATCTTCTGTACTTTAATTGAAATGTTCATTGCTAACAGCGGAGCTATCTCAGCCGAGAGGCTGCTTGTTTTTTCTTTCTTTGAGAAGTGCTGTCAACCAAGGCATAAATATGTGTTTCTCTGTACATAAATTTCACATGATTTGTTAATATTAATGTATGATAATAAAAACTTAATAATTTTTTTCTGGATTCTTGTACTTTATTTGTATCATTGTCATATGAGAAGTACTCTTGTCCTTATTTCGAGATATTGAAACTAATTCAGGGCCACAAACTACATGTAGACCTGTACGTGAAGTACATGGGAAGTAAAGTTGTTGTCACAGGTAATGTACACCAAGGATCATTGCAGTTTCTCAGTTCCTCATCTGGTGCTAGTATGACAAACAGTATTATTGCCCTGTTCCTGTAAAAAATATCAGGTTTTTTTACTGGAACACTTCGGTGATTGGCAGTGTCCTTGTATTAGGAATACAGTTGTACAAGGAAGTTTATCTAAACAGACACAACACTGACTCTTCTACATATTTGCAGATCTGATTTGCATACTTACTTACTGTTGTACTTGTTTGTTGCTATCTGGTGTTCTTGCTGAGACCAGGATGGAGAGTGCTATGAACTTGAAATTGCCAATTTATGTCCATGTCAAAAACTGATTAAATTATATGTTGCAACAAGCGAAGGCAGTGTCATTCATGACTTCTTTGATTGAATACATTTTTACTGCTTGGAGGCCATTTTTTCCCTCAAAAATCTAAAAAAAAAAAAACTTTTTCTACCCGTTACCAGCTTTTTCTCAGATATGTGTCATCCAGTTTTGTTCAAAGTTAGTACAGGGACAGGTAATAATTGTTTACAAGTGCACATTGCATTATATGTTTATCAAGTTATTCATTTGGCTCTTCTGAGACAATTTATATTTTTTTACCCCCCCCCCCCCCAGCTTTTAGAATTTTAGTACAGCTCATAATGGATAAATTCACTCTGACACAAACCCAGTTCAATATCAGTTTTAAATTGTTTTCTCAGCGGGGGCTATGACATGTCATGTCTTGTTTTCATCCATTTCTTCTTCTTTCCAGTTAGGTGAATTTATTGATTGATTTGTGAAAATGTAGGAAATATGTACATCCATTTTTAATGATTTATAGCCCATCAAAATGTTGTCGATCATTTCATTTTTTTTATTTGACACAGGAATTCAAATGCATTACAAACTACTGCAACCTGCAGTAAATAGCAAATCAAGGCAATCCTCAGATATATCCCGCAATTTGTGCAATTCACACAATTTTAAGGACCACATAAAAAGTTCAATGCTACACTAACTTTTGGTTGCTTGTCCATAGTGTTAAAAGATTGATTAGAAAAAATACTAAAAACCATTACATTTCAAACAGGTGTTGTATGCAGAAACGCCTGCTAATCCAACAATGGCAGTAACAGACATGGAAGAATTTGGTCGCCTTGGTAACAGTCTTCCTGGTGTTATGACTATGGTAGATGCTACGTTTGCTAGTCCCTATTTATTACAACCATTGAAATATGATGTAGATATCTCTATACATAGCTGGTAGGTCATTGTTAATATTGTACAGTGAAAACCACAAAGCTGTATTTTTTTTGTGACATTTGTTTATAATCTTTTAGCCGTCTAGGTACTGTTTACCATACTTTCCCAGTCATAAGCCCAGGGGTCTAAATATGTAAAATTAGAGTCAGTAAGGGGTGAGGTCCACTTCAAAAAGGATGAAGAATTTTTTGTTCAACATTGTAACCATTTTAAACATTTTTGGTCACTATGTATGTCTTTTGGGGGAAAATAAAACTGCAAAATGAGTTTAATGAGTCATTAATTTCCACAACACCTCTACAATGAAGTACAAAAATGTTTATAAAGTATGGCCAGCTGTCTAGGTATTGTTTATGTGTGTACAGCCTGTATATCCTTAACATTTTTGGTATATGTATTCATAAATTCATTTTAGTTTGGTATAAAATATTTGATATGCAGTCTGTTTTTAGCTCTGCTGTCGATGTGAAACTTTCTAGGAAGGTACCTTGGATGGTTTTCTCTCAGATTTGTTCATTTCGTGTGGATATGTTCAATTGTCTCATTCATAGCGAATATTTCTGTCATTTTTGTTCAAAAATGCTATTTTCGACTTCTTCTTGAAAACTGCTAGCCCGAATGCTTTGATACTTGGTATGTAGGTACCTTCGGTGGACCTTCTCAGATTTGTTCATTTTGTGATAATATCTTTAATTCTCTAATTTTGGTGAATATTTTTGTCATTTTTGGTAAAAAAGTAATATTTTACTTCTTGTTAAAAACACCAAGTCAGTATTGCTTAGTTATTACATATGTAAGTACTACATGTGGACCTCTCTCAGATTTGTTCATTTTGTAATGATATTTTTAATTCTCTAATTTTTGTGAATATTTTTGTCATTTTTGGTAAAAAGTGATATTTTCGACTTCTTGTTGAAAACCAAAAGTCCAATTGCTTTGATATTACATATCTAGGTACTACATATGGACCTCTCTCAGATTTGTTCATTTTGTAATGATATCTTTAATTCTCTAATTTTGGTGAATATTTTTGTCATTTTTGATAAAAAGTGATATTTTCGACTTCATGTTAAAAAACGCGGGTCCAATTGCTTTGATACTACAAATCTAGGTACTACATGTGGTCCTCTCTCAGGTTTGTTCATTTCATGATGATATCTTCAATTCTCTAATTTTCATGAATATTTTTGTAATTTTTGGTAAAAAGTGATATTAAAAAGTGGTTAAAAACCGCAAGTCTAATTGCTTTGATATTATATATGCTACATAGGTACGACAGGTAGACCTATCTCAGATTTGTTCATTTCGTGATGATTTTGTTCTTCAATTATCTAATTTTAATGAATATTTTTGATAAAAAGTTATAAAGAGTCTGATTGCTTTAATACTATACATATTCTTCATTTTCTAATGATATCTTCTGTTCTTTAATTGCAATGTGCATTGCTAACAGCGAAGCTATCTCAGCCGACAGGCTGCTAGTTTTAACTATTAGGCAGGAAACTAATAAAATTATTGAACAAAATCAATCTAATTTGCTGAGGATTCTGTATTTTTCATAAATTATTACTATTTGTTTTCCTTTCAATATAATAGTACCAAATATTTGGGAGGGCACAGTGATGTATTAGCTGGATTTGTTTCTACTCGACGACTTGAACTTTTTGAAAAGCTGAGTTCATACCAGAAGAGCATGGGCAGTACACTGGTAAGAGTATTCTCAAATACAATGTAATACTTATGACCATTTGTGCTACTAAGATCTACGTGTGTTTTAACACTAACTGTAGGTTTTAAATTATGACCTCATTAGTATCCTTTAATTTATGGGTTTCTCAGATAATTTTAGTATAATTGTCAGGAATGATGGAAATTCATTCATTATCTCCCAATCTTTACATTATCATTTATACATTTTAATTAACATATATTTGCTAAAATATAATTGCATTGCGATGTTAAAAATTACGTTTTCATTCAAAATAAATCTAGTCTCATTAGTTTCTTGCTATTTTTTTTTAATTTCTCATTGCAGTCACCATTTGATGCGTATTTGTTATTACGAGGTGTACGTACATTGCATGTACGCATGGATAGACATAGCTCCAATGCTTTAAGAATAGCACAGTATTTAGAACAACATCCCAAGGTATAGTTGTCTATGTGTACTTATAATTTATATATATACAAATTTATTGTGTTCTTTACTTGATTACATTAACTCAGCCAGTTTTGCTGGCATTTACTGACACACTATCGTAATAGTTACTATGTGCACGTTATGAGATCCTGGCTCGTACGCAAATTTTTAATCCTTCATGTTTGGAGAAGGATTACATCAGTTGTGTTCACATTAGTCAAGACCCCATTGGCGCCACTCTGCCCGTGACGAAATCGATCACGCCTTAATTCGTTAATCTGTTATTTGACATAAACATGGAAAATGATACACTTATGATGATAATAATAATTGCTATATTGAAATTATATTCATTTGCTGTTATGATATTTATTATGAGTCAATGTGCACATGAATGACAAGGAAGATTCAAAAATCTTTTTTTTTTTCACATTGATGTAACATTGTGGAAAAAAACGGTTGTAGCAGCACATAAATATGGATTGATGATGACGGTTTGCATTCATTTCATTCATTACTACAGCATCCGACCATATATAGCTGCAATTCCTTCGATTGTCATGTCGTAGTATTATAAATCAGTATATGTTCTCTTCAAATCAACACAGAGAACATGATTTTGGTTTGTGCTGAGCATTCAGGCCAAGTGTTATGGTCCTGAGTGTCTATCAGGATTTTTCAGTTCCAGCCACACACACACACATATTTCGGTATGTTCCTACTCTGTCCCGAGTCTCGGCATGTGCTGAGATCTCTAATGTGAACACCACTAGTATGTACAAATTGTTAACAATATCACAAAGACGCCAGAATTCTCTAATTATATTGAGGCATTACAAGCACCATCTACATTTAATTCATACATTATCAATGTGCTATTTTACATGCCATGATAAAATGGTCTGACACATTCATATCATACCAGTACACTGAAAATACTAAAAATGTCTCTTTATGGAGATCATTACATTCTAAATCAGTAATTAAATAATGGCTCAATATGTTATAAACATTTTCTTTTAATTTTCATATTAGAAGTGTTTTTTTCTGTATTTACGGTATTTTCTCATTTATCTACTAGATGTTTATATTTGTCATTTAAAAAAAAAATTATACAGCAACTCTTTTTAGCTCCGCTGTCGACTTTGTCGAGCGGAGCTTATCATATGAGTGATTGTCCGGTGTCGTCC